TGGGAAGCAAATGGAGCTCAAAAGGAGAGGGCATGATTATGTACGTTGGGTGCCTGTACCATGCAAGAAGCTCTGAATGAAACCCACTAGTCTGCATCCCAATATGCACTGCTAAAAATAAATAAAATTAAAAGACTTCCGGAAACAGAAGAGCTTGTGTAGATGGGCCTAGCTCTCCTTCTTTACTTTTCTGAGTCTTATTTTCATGCAGAACAAAAGAAAGATGTTCTTACTATTCCTTTGTTGTTGCTGCTGTTAAAGAGACACGTATATGTGATAAAGCAGGCAAGGTGACAGAACAAACAATGGAATATAAAACATCTTCCTTCTGTTTCTTCATAGCTGTATAGTATTTTATAGTTTTATGGGAATAACTAGAATTTGTCTCTTTTAAAAATATGACCAGGGCAGAGGATAGACATTGAATATAGTAACGTTCATTCAAATAGTCATTCTCATAAGAATGGGGAGGGAGGGTAGTCAGGGAGGTCGTGCAAAGTGCCACTGACAGTAATGAAAGAAAACCTCATCAGAGTTTAGAGGATTTTGATATGAACTGTGCAATGTCAATACTGATCAAAAAGTAGCAGATCTATCTCACAAACAATCTCATTTCAGATAAACTTTACTTTGAATATATATCTAGAATGCGATCACAGAAAGCTTAACCAATAGCTGAAGAATGACAAATGAAAATGTTTCAATTTGTATCATCTCCTCCAGTCCCATTTAATTTGAATTGTCTGCCATCTGCTTAAATGTCATATTAATGGTAAAATAAATTAATTTCATTTTATATGTCTTTGTCTATATGTCATACTCCATTTGTTATCCTATATGTCCTATGTTATTTTCCAGTAGCAGAAAGTCTTGTAACAGCCTTGCCCACTCTAATGCAACTTCTTCAGTTAATCTGAAACTCTAAAAACTGAGACAGGGACATTAACATCTGGGTAGATGCTATAGCTTGGGGATCACTAAAAATGAGAAGATTGAATATTTTAATTTTTAGAAAATTGCTAAGTGAGAACTTAAGAAACATAATGCACCCTTGACATCAGATCATTATTTTTATATGTATTCTGTGGAACAAGGTGTATAATAAAAGCAAACAGTATGGTGGAAAAATTATAGCTTTTAATTTACACAAATAGAAAACCATTATTTTAATTTTTTGTTTATATAATGATGTATCTTAGTGATTGTTCTGTAGCAGCATGAAGATCTTATTTTTCAAAACTTTTACAGCATTCCATGGTAAGTTTGTCAACAGTCATTTAAGCAATCGCCTTTTGGTGGGTAGATGTTTGTTTCAGCTTTTGTTGTTTAAAAAAAGCTACATGCTCATGTTGTTATTTTGACTGTTTATTTTTTGCAGAAACTAAGTATTCCTGGAGAATAAATATGTCCAAATAGGTTTTTTTTTTTTAGTCTTTTTGAGACAGGGTTTCACTATGCAGTTCAGGCTGGCCTTAACTCACTTTGTAGCTCAAGGCTGGTCGAGACTCGCAGGGTGCCTCCTGCCTCAGTCTCTGGAGTGCTGGGATTACAGGCATGCACCACAATGCGTGGCCAGTGTATGCAGTTTTAAAGATTTTTTTCTTCTATATTGCCGAGTGTGGAACCCAAGTTTTCCATGCATTTAGCCAAGAACTCTTCCACTGAGTTACTGCCTCAGCTTTTACTTTTTTATGATATGTAGCAGTTTTGCCTAATGATTAAAATGCATGACATTAAAATCACCTATTAAAACGTAATGTGTAAAATGCCAGCATCTCACCAGATGGTGACCGGTATTATTTTAACATTGCATCATAACTCAGAGTTGAAGTATCACATTGCCACAAATGAAGTAGCTTAAAACAATGTGTGTGTGTGTGTGTGTGTGTGTGTGTGTGTGTGTGTTTCTTACAGTTCTGTAGATGACAGGTCAAAATCAAGTCATCAGCAGGGCCGTGCCCTTGCTGAGGGTTGCAGGGGAGAGTCTTCCCTCGCCTCCCTCCTGGCTTCTCATGGCTGTTGATCATCCTTGACATTCTTTGCTATGAAAACATTACTGTGACTGCTGCCTCTGCCATCACATAGCACCCTCCCTGCTTGTCTCTTCACACCATCTTCCCTTCGTCTGTGTCCAAATACCCCTTTTCTCTTAAGGATACCAGTCATCAAGTTAAATCACACCCAGTATCATATCCTTTTAATTTGATTGCCACTGTGAGAATTGTATTTATTCATTTATTTATTTATTTATTTTTGTCCTTTTGTTTGTTTGTTCGTTGTTGGTACCAGGAATCAAACTCAAGACCTTGCGTTTGCCAGGCAAGCATTGTGCCCCTGAGCTGTAGTCCTGGCTCATTTTTTGTCTTTTTGAGACAGGGTCTCGCTATGCAGTTCAGGCTGGCCTTGAGATCACTTTGTAGCCCAGGTTGGTTTCAAAGTCACAACGATCCTCCTGCCTCAGCCTCCCAAGTGCTGGAATTACAGGTGGGCACTACCACACCCAGAAAGCATCTTATTTATTAATAAAGCTACACTCTGAAGTTCTGGATAGACATGAATTTTGGAAGGTATATTATTCAACCTAATAAAACATGTATCTGTTCAGCTATGTTTAGTGTGCTAACAAAATTCTACAGATATCATTACTAAAAAAGGAAATCATGTTTATATATACTATTTTATAATTTATTATTTAACATAGTATTATTTGACAATAATCCATGATAGTATATATATATACTGTAGATTCATCTCATTTTTTAAGAAAAGCTGTTTCTTAGTATTTTTTCAACTAATCCTGTATTAGTAGACACTCGGTTGATCCTAATTACTCATTTTTATGAATGATGTTGTGGATTTAGAGAAAAGTTTGGAAAACTATTGCCTGTGGGCTGACTTTGGTCTGCTGTCTGTTTTTGTAAACAAGGTATTTTGGGGGGATCCCAGGCACCCTTTTTTGTTTACATGGCATCTATACTAATTTTGCATTCTAGTGACATTTTGTTCATACATTGCCTGCAAAGTCATAACTATCTATTATCTAAAATTTTGAGGTTTTTTTTTTTTTTTTCTGGTACTGGGAACTGAACTCACAACCTTGCACTTGCCAGGCAGGCGCTGTGCTGCTGAGCTAAATCCCCAACCCCTATTATCTAAAATTTTTGTAG